AGTAGATTCTACAAGGTATAGAGGTATGATTGGATCACTTTTATATTTGACCACCTCTAGACCTGATATTATGTTTGTTGTATGCATGTGTGCACGATATCAATCTAATCCTAGAGAATCCCACTTAGCTGCAGTTAAAAGAATTTTTCGTTATTTGGTGGGTTCTAGTCAAATGGGATTATGGTATCCTAAGGGATTTTCACCAAACTTAGTTGGGTATTCCGATGCCGACTTTGCTGGATGTAAGTTGGAGAGGAAGAGCACGAGTGGCACATGTCAATTGTTTGGAAACACTTTAGTTTCTTGGCATAGTAAGAAGCAAGCTAGTGTAGCTCTATCCACTGCGGAAGCAGAGTATATAGCTGCATGTAGTTGTGTTGCCCAAGTTCTTTGGATGAAGCAACAACTTCTGGACTATGGTTTAAAACTTGAGATCGTTCCCATCTTGTGTGATAACACAAGTGCTATTAACCTAACTAAGAATCTCATTCAGCATTCACGCACTAAACATATTGATATTCGTCATCATTTCATTCGTGATCATGTTAGTAAAAGAGATGTTGAAATTAATTTTGTTGATACAACTAAACAATTAGCGGATATTTTTACAAAGTTATTACCTAGAGATACCTATGAAAGATTGCGTATAGAATTAGGCTTATTTGATTTGTCTTCTTAATACATGCACATTCATGCCTTATAACATGTCTTTATTCATTATGCCATTGTTTTTCATATGCCTTGTTTTATCTTATGCTACTAATATTTTTGATAATGTCAAAGGGGGAGAAAATATGATAAATGAATGTCAAATTGAGCTAATGCATATTGATAGAGGGAGCTTAAAGAAATTTTAAAGTTGGAATATTACATGTTATCTAACTTTTGCTACTAACCTTTATTTTGTCTCAATTTGAGTATATATTGCCATCATAAAAAAGGGGGAGATTGAAGGACCTCCTAAATTCAAGTAGATTATGCCTAAATGGTTTTGATGATGTCAAAGCATGAAGAACTCATTTTGAAGATGCTAAAGTTTCGGGTTAGATAATTTTTAGATTCCTTGTAACACATTAGATATATCACTAAGCATGATTCCAAGCTCCATTGCATTTCATTGCATAACATGTATTTAGCTATGTTGAGTGACTTATTAAAAAATTAAATAAACAGATCTTTAAAAATAAAATCCAAGTAAATTAAAAATATGTTTTAATAAAAACTAAAAAGGTAAAAGTAATAATAATAAAAATCATCAAAAGATTGTTTACCAATTTGAAAAATAATAAGCATCTCTCACATAATTGATGGTGATGGTCACGTGTTTTTCTTTTCAATATATATATATATATATATAAAGTTAGTTAAAAAATTAATAATAATAATAATAATAATAATAATAATAATAATAAAACTGTAAAAAGCAATTGATTGCACTTTTATTGAAAAACAAAAGTGATCAGAGTTTTGTTGTATATAATAATAAAAAAGAGAGAGAAACTTACACAATTACATACATCTTTCATAGTACCTATTCTTTTACGCTCTCGGAAAAAATTCAAGAAGAAGCAATCTCGTTTTCTCTCTATCATCGTCTTTGTTCGTCGAAAGTTTCTCAATAGTTTTGGAAGCAAGAATATTTTCAAAGCTCTCATCGTCTCTGCTTTTTGATAATTTCTCAACCATTTGGAAGCATTTAAATTCAAGATTCTTGGAACTAAGGTTGAAGAACCCTGACTACATTTTCTGTTTTACTTTGCTGAAAATTTGAGATCTGTTGAGGTAATATCTTAAACCTTGTTTGGAGCATCCTTTGGAATACTCTTGATACTTGATATTGTTGATTTAATTTTCTGTTTTCTTTTTTATATATTGTGAGTATTTCGATTTCTTTGTTTTGATTTTAAGTGAGTATAATAGAAATCTTGATGCTCTTTGTGTAAGATTTGTGTTTCTAATTTTTGCGAAAGATTGAATAAAAAAATATTAAATCTGAATTTTTTTACATTGTGTTAATTCAGATTTTTGTTTGGGATTTACTGTCTAGAAACCTAATCTTGAATTGTTCTAGAAATTTTATTGGTGGAATATTAAATCTGAATTTTCTATTTTAACTGAGGTATATTGTGCTTAAAATTCAGATTTCTTGTGGTTTATTACTAAATGATTTAGCTAGAACTAATTCTGAATTTTTTGTGAAATTTTGAGAGAAATTACAATTCTGATTTTTCTGGATATAGTGTGATAATTTCTATTTAAATCAGAATTTTTAGTGTCCATCATTCAGATACTTGATATAAATAAATACAAGTTCCTTATTGCTGAAAATTTGTAGTTTGTGATACATATACTTGTGCTCTAAATTTTCTGCATATATCATATCATTTTGGAGCTTGTTGTTGTGCCTTATTTGATATATCAAGTGTGATAGGACATTGTAATAGGTTGATAAATTTTCTGTAATAAATCTGAGATATTGTATTGGTTGTTAAAGTGGAGTTGTTGCATGTTGTAAATCTGTCCTAGGTGTGTGGGTGCAACCATGTGGGTTGGCAACCTTGTGCTTGGCTTGAGAGTGTGTCTCAAGGCTTGGAGCCTCAAGAATCCACTAAGGAGAGTGGAGGTCTTGTGTGAGAGGAGTTGATGAACTCCGTAGGTTCGTCTTGAGAGTATTCTCAGAGCTTGGAGCAGTGTAGGCACTAGGAAGGTTTTTGATATTTTGTTTGATTGCTTGTGTGACGCGTGTTTGTAAAACAGGTACACTTGTGATAAATAAAATATCTGCAGCGACTTCAGTCTGGACGTAGCAACCTACTTAGGCTTAGTGGTGTAAACCAGGATATATCGTGTGTCTCTTTGTCTCTCTGATTTAATTTCTGAATATTCTGTTTAGAGACTTAAAGTAACACTAATTTCTGGTTTAAAAGTGCTATAGCATAATTAATATTTTTCTGTTTTGTTTAAGAAAATTACATTGCTGCGTTTATACTCTATAAATTGCTAAGGTACGCATTCTGTTACTACATTGTTCTTAGCATTGTGAAAAATTATTTTGGGCATATAGGGACTGAAGAAAAATTGTGATATTGTTTACTAAATTTAAATAGTAATATAAATTGATTTATGTCAACTAGTTAGTTGTTGTGGTGATTGAACTTAATTGTTCAACTTTGTCTAGACTTTACAGATTTAAGGATCTACTAAGAAAAAGTTTTTGAAAAAGTTTAGAACACCTATTCACCCCCCCTCTAGGTGTTCCGTAAGTGTCCTGTGTAAGAAGTCACTTGCCCAACACTACCTTGGTGAACTTATATGAATTAACCACTTCTATGGGCTTAAGATTAGAAATGACCTCTTTCAAATCCTGCTTTTATAGTAATACATGGTAATTTGGTATCCTGATTAATTCTAGTAGGATTTTCATACATTTTAATTCATTTTCTTTTTGTCCTTTAGATAGTTGCAAGTGTTTACACCGCTAGACCCCCACCCCAAATGCTTTGTGAGTGGGAGTATTTCATTGTATGTGGTACACAGAAAAACTAGCAGCAGGTTATCAATAGTGTACTATGGCGGAGGAGTTAGGGATGTAAATGGATTAAGTCAAGTTAGGTTTTGGTCTAAATAAGTCAGGCCTATATGAAATATTTTCAGTCAGACCTGACCTGACCTGATGGTTGGAGCAGGTTAAAGTATAGGCTTGATTTAGCTTTTATTTAAAAATAAGAGGCCTAGGCGTGTTTAAGCCTATCAAGGCTTCAATACCTATTCAGAATTAGAAAAAATATGTAAAATTCTATTTTTATTAATTAAAATTATTTAAATAATTATTTTATTTTATTTTAATTAAATTAAATAATGTTATATAGACCGCGGGCCTATAGATTTGTAGCCTAAACTTTGTAAAAGTAAACCAACCTTTTTTAATCCGAATAGGCCTTACTTTTTAAACCAACCGGCCTATTTTTTAAACCAACCTTTTTTAAGGCCGGAGCCTATTATATTTTTCTGAATATACAAGAAGGCTAGGCCAGAGTTGATGTAAGTTGGGTCATACCTAAGGGTGTAAATGAGTTGGGCTGGGCTGGGCTGGGCTTTGGCCATCCTGACCCAAGCCTACGTAAAAAAAAATTCAGCCTATCTGGCCTACTGGCCTATTAAAGGCTTTATTTGTAGGCCAAGCCCGGCTCATTTTCAAAAATAAGAAAGCCTGACATGGCCTACAGGCCTTGTAGTCCTCCCACTATATATACTAAGCAAAAAAAATAATTGTATAGAGCAAAGAAAGTTCCATTCATGCATGCATGCATGCACTAGTACTTCTCATAAGAAAAAATGACAAACAAGAAAGAGTCAACATAATACCTCAGCTCTAGAATGTATATCATAGAGGAATAGAGTCAAAGAAATAGGAAAAATAAGAAAAATACAATTACTGGATGCTGAAATAAAGTCTACAAGAGAATGTCATTCATCTAAAAATCTTTAAGCCACCATCAAGACAAGGGAAAGAAGATTATTATTGAAAGATCTTCATCAGTAACATCATAATCCAGCAAGGTACCCATTGCTCCATGGTATTAAGCTGCAACAACATGTAAAATTTGGAGACATTAGACAAGTTTTCCTTTCATAAAATAAAATAGCACAAAAAGTAAGAGATATTGGTATTTGGTACTTTGAGTCTTTGCCACATAAAATAAATATTATTTTATTATTTTATTTTAATAAATTAAATAGGTCAGCCTACAAACAAGACTGTAGGCCGGGCTTGACAAAATTGGCCTATGACTTATTTATTAAAAAAGCTTTTTTATAAGCCTAAGCCTACTTTACTTTCCTGAAAGACCGGGTCTGAACTGAGCTCAATGTAGGCCGAGCCGTAGGCTGAACAGCGTGACCCATTTATACTCTAATCATACCGCTCTTCACAGGGGCATAAATCACGCATTATAAAAAAAAAAAAAAAAAAATCACGCATTACACCCCTAGGGGAAGTAGAGTATAGCAGCCTCTGGTTGCTCTGAGAATCAGATAGCATCACATTTTGCTGTCGTGGCCGTTGCAGCCATTCTTCACAGGGGCATAAATCTCGCATCGCAGCACAGCTCTTTGGTCTCTGTTCTGTTCGTATATTGAGGTCTCTGTTCTCTCTTTTTTCCTCATGTGTTCTTTCTTCACACTTTACGGATCATATTCTCCTAATCTATTTTTCTCCCTCTCTTTTTTCCCCCAATTCCATTGTCTCTGTTCTCGTATACAAGTGTTCTGACTTTTTCTATGAATTCCTATTCTTTTTCTTCTTCTTTTTTACTTTGTTCCTACTTTATCATGCTCTTTGTTGAGATATATAGTCCCACATTGATTGGATAGGCAACTAATATGACCTTTATAAGGCCTTGGGCACTCCCACCCCTTGAGCTAGCTTTTGGGGTGGTGTATCTCAAGGTTCTTTACATGGTATCAGAGCTTGAGTGACTATAAGGTCACAAGTTCGATCCTCACGGCCCCCCACTTTCAAGTGGAATTAAAATAAAAAGCACAAAAAGATAAACCAAAAATTGGACCTGTGCAATTCCACGCTTCTAGCCCAAAGGGCTCTTGCGTGAGGGGGCGTGTTGAGATATATAGCCCACATTAATTGTGTGGGCAACTAATGTGGCCTTTATAAGGCCTTGGGCACTCCCACCCTTTGAGCTAGCTTTTGGATGGTGTATCTCAAGGTTCTTTACAATGTTGAGATATATAGCCCACATTAATTGTGTGGGCAACTAATGTGGCCTTTATAAGGCCTTGGGCACTCCCACCCTTTGAGCTAGCTTTTGGATGGTGTATCTCAAGGTTCTTTACATGGTATCAGAGCCTCACCGTCCCCCGCTTTAAAGAGTGGAATTAAAAAAAAAAAATAAAAAGCACAAAAGGTAAACCAAAAATTGGGCCTGTGCAATTCCACGCTTCTAGCCCAAAGGGCTCTTGCGTGAGGGGGCGTGTTGAGATATATAGTCCCACATTGATTAGATGGGCAACTAATATGACCTTTATAAGGCCTTGGGCACTCCCACCCCTTGAGCTAGCTTTTGGGGTAGTGTATCTCAAGGTTCTTTACACTCTTCACAGTCATGCCATCATCGACTCAATTATGAATGTCTTTAATTTTGGGAATTGTTTTTGTATTTTTTCAGCATTTATTTGTGTGTAGTATAAATTAAATATCTTATACCTATAGTCTTTAGTATGACGGTATCCGCCATCCTGCTATAAGCATATTTGGAGTCTACCACTCCGCACTATGATCTGGGATTAATAATAACTTTGACTAGTGGTCTATTTCAATTAATATTCTTCTTTCAAATATGGCTGAAATTTTTTCATTCACTTTAATAGGACCAGAACCAATGGACATCTTTACAACATCAACATCTCAGCCACGTGAAATTCCTAGTTCCGATGTGACAATTTTGGAAGGGCATACTTCAGAGGTTAAATATATCATCAATTCTTCTTTTCTTTGTAGACTTCTTAAATTTTATTTCATCTATAAAACTCTTTGTTGATTGGCCTGTTCACCGTCCATTTAGGTGTGTGCTTGTGCATGGAGTCCTAAAGGATCTCTTCTTGCATCAGGGTAGGTATCTCTGTGAATGATTTATTTTTGCATTAAAATGTTTTAACATGTGTATAACATTATGGTTGATGTGCATAACTTTGTGCATCTTGGATTTCCATTTGCTATACTTCCAATTTTGTTTGACTTCCTTATGATATTCTTGTACTTTACTATCATCATTCCAATTTTTAGGTCTGGGGACTCGACAGCTCGTATTTGGACTATAGCAGAAGGGAGATGTAATCCTGATTCACAGAATGGTCCTTTGAATGTGTTGGTGTTGAAGCATCTTAGGGGTATAAAAAATGAAATGGGTAAAGATGTCACTACGCTTGATTGGAATGTGAGTTCAAATGCATATTTTGATTGATATTTATATGTATGAATCCAAAGTTGTTTTTTGGTTCACCATTATAAATTTTGTGAAGTTCCTTCTCCCCCACCCCTTTTTCAGAAAAAAAGCAAGGGGGATATAATATAAACTGCTATACAGCATTTATTTATTATATAATATTTATTTACTATTAAGGAGACACAAATTCTGTGTTTGGCAACTAGATATCTAGGTAAGATGGTGCTGGTTTTTGTCTAGAACCAATTTTCCTAAAAGGTTAAGCTTTTAGGTGAAGATACATGAATGGTTATATAGTTTTATAACATTTCTAACACGTCCCCCTCACATAAGAGTTCTTTGGATTAGAAGTGTGGACAATGCATAAGCCCACCTATCATGTGCTCAACTTTAACATTTTTATTAGAACGGGGGCAGCAAGGATTGTACTTTAGACCACTTCGTTATAGAATCAGTTTTGATGTAGTTTTAACCAAACTAAGCTCAGTTATGAATTAGTTTATTTTTATAGGGACTTGTATAACTGGTTCTATCTTGTACCATTTTAAATTAGTTTTGAAAGTTGTTAATGACCCGTGTTTGAGTTTAACTAGTGGAAATGTGTAATGGTATTTTTTTTTTTCTTCCTCATTTTAAATTGGTTTTGAAAGTTGTTAATGACCCGTGTTTGAGTTTAACCAGCGGAAATGTGTAATGGGATTTTTATGTATTTTTTCTTCCTCTCCTGTTGCTTCTTCACGCCAGTTTCAGACACATTCAAATGATTCTTTGGAGAGTTTTTTTTTTATTTTCATTTTTGCAGTGGGAAGCAACTGCCTTAGTTTCCCTATTTGTTGTCTCCCCTTAATTCAGCAATCTTGCTGTTTATTGTGCCTTAGGAGCATGATTGAAACTTATCTCTGCCCTGAAATAATTCATTAGACACAAGCCTGATGTTATAAATCAATTTCTAATGCATTCTTGTTTGAAGCCATGGAGAGTGTGCTTTTATATCCCATCTTAATTCTCTTTGTTTCCTTTTCTCTTCGAGCTGCTAAAAAAATGATATCTTGCTCTTTCAATTGCTAGTTGTATGCTTCCAGTTAGAAACTAGTCAAGTCTAGCTGTTTAAGTGCCTATTTCTATCTGAAAGCTCCGTAGAAACCTTTATTTAGTTCATTATCTTCCTTTTTCCTCTCAAATAAGATTTCGTTTTCTATAGCAAGGAAGTGTAAATAACTCCAACTCTTAATCTATTTTTCTGATTTTCCACTTACATCATCTCTATTGTTTAAGACCCACACCAACCTCGGTTGAACTGGGAAGTTTGTCAAAATCAAAATCATGAAAATAAGGAAGGTTTATTGGGCATAATTTTTTGTTCATGGTAGGTTTGTAAGGGAGCGAACCGGAGCAGTGGTAAAGCTGTTCTTTCATAACTGAAAGGTCATGGGTTCGAATCCAGGAAACAGCCTCTTTGCAATTATGCAAGGGTAAGGCTGCGTACAAGGAATATCTCCACCCCACACTCGCTAGTCGGGTTTAACGGGGAGTGGTTTTTTTGGTAGGTTTGTGCAGGTTATGAAAACATAAGGGAGATATGTGAAAAATGAAGACGGAGGGGAAGTTTAAAATCTTTTTCTTAAAATATAAATATACTCTTTTGTAGCTTTTTTCTGAAACATATCTTTGGCAGCTTTTCTCTCTTTAATTTTGATGTGCTTTGATATTATTCTGGTAACTGTAAGATATGTAAATTCAAGGTTGTTATTATCTGTAATGTTTGCTTCTAACTCTTATACCTTATGGAGAGTTCACTCTGGCGCCTGTTGTGCAGGGGGAGGGGACACTTCTTGCAACTGGTTCAGACAATGGGCAAGCAAGAATTTGGACCACTAATGGTATGACCTTTTTTTCTATGCTATTCTACCATAACTTTAAGGGCTTATATATGATGAGATCAGATGAAAAGAACTCAAAGATTCCTTGTTTTTAATTTTTGGCGTAATATTTATTTTGCTGTTAAATAATTGGGGTGGGTAATTTCTTGCTATCTTGGAAGCCTATATAAGGTCAAGTCGCCCGAGGTGAACATTGTCTTTAGCTTCTTGTTTACATATGCATTTACTCCTACAGTCATGATAACAAAGGAAGAATTTAAATCATTATATGCATGAGAAGCTATTTGAATTAGTATTCATGTGCTTTTTACGCTCTGCTGGCCTAATTTTGCTGTGTAGGTCGCTATATGTTTTACTGCAAGTCATCAACCGATGTATGGGAGGCTGATAGGGATGTGGATAGGATAGGAATTGCAAGCTAATTTATGTTTAGGTTGAACTAGATGTAAACCTGTGCAATGCGCTGGCAAATTTGAGAGATACGTTAGTAGTTGTTGAAAGAGAGTAGTTATTGAGAGAAATGATGTTTTAGGTATACAATTATTTATTGACTGTTTTACAATCAGCAAGAGTAATCTCAGCTGATAGCTAAGAAAAAACCAATCTCTAGTCTAATAATCAATAATTGGTTATTCTAATCTAATCAACAGAAATATAGTTGACTATAATCCTAATATTAATGCTAGTATTCTAATATAAAAATATTTTGACACTCCTCTCAAGCTGAAGCTATTAAGCTCACCGCTTTTTCCAAGCCAAACAATGGTAACACAGCCAGACCTAGCCAAATAGACCCCAAAATATAAGCAATCCATGTAGGAACAAGAACCAATTGGCCAAATACAAGCCAAACATCAGTAAAATGTGGTCAACACATGTCCAACCAGCTGCAGCTTTGCACAAAGGATAAGTTGCAGTGGATACACAGCCAACCAGCCCCTTGGGGTAGTGGAACCAAGGCACAACGGGTGAAACCGAGCATCTCTGTTGAAGTATTTGAAAAGGTGGCACAAGAAAATGGACTGGAAAATGCTCAGTCCAAATAAAGAAAGAGAACACTGCTAGATGGAGGAAGAAACCACTGGTTATGAGTGTGAGAATGTAGGTGGCAGCTGTAACTTGCCAAAATTGAGTCACGAAGGTGGAAAAGGCTGCAGGAATTGACTCATAGCAAAGGGTCTTGAGAAGAAGTTGAATGCTGGAGTCAGTGTGATCTGTGCCGACGGCTAGAGAGGAAGATGGAATTGTGGCAGATCAAGACCAAGGAATACTGGAATGGAGGATAAGCAACAGTTTGTGAAGAATTGGCCAGATAAAAGGTCTTACTAACGGGGTGAAACTGCCCTGAAATTAGTGGCCAGCGAAGGCAGAAGGAACCAAACCTCCTGTTGGGGTTCTGAAACTGAGTCGAAATGGGCAAGGCTTGGCCAGAAGAGCAACAATGAGATGTTTTGTGGTTGTCCCCAGCAAATTTGACCAGCAAAGCACCCCATGAGTCAGCAAGTGGCTGGTTCAGCCCGACAGAACTAAACATTTCGTGATTGAGTGGCATTTCATAGAGGAGAAACTAGATTGTAGACTGATCAACACAGCTTGTGTTTCTTCAGAGGTTCAGCTAGCAGATTTTTTAACTAAAGGATTTTCTACAATGAGGTAGAGACAATCTGGGAATGATAGATATTGATTTACTAAATGAAGGGTGTGTGTTCTAATAGTCCCACATAGTCTCACACATACTTCACGATATAATATTCTCTATAAATGATTGTTACTATTGTAAAATATTTTGTTAGCATAGTTTAGTCATTATATTAGGAAACTCTATATTTCTTTCCCATCCCAGAGCCAAGCTCCTCCATAGCCTCAGAAAACTGTCCCCCTTTTCTCACGTTCTCACTTTCAATTTTGTGCTTGAATTTCCAGGCAATATTCCAGGTATTGTGCCATGACGTTCCCCTGATATTCACTGCCATTTTCTTCTGCTTTAATTCATATTAATATGCCCTGATTCCCCGACCAGATTCTTCCTATTTTTCCTCCTCATAAACTCTCCATGTAACCTAGTCTGTCAGCCCCAATTGTGGGGCAGTTGAGGTCAGTCCTAATATTCTATATATTAGAATGAATCCATGTACAGAACAATTCAAAAAATAATATTCAATATTTTTTCGATTTGATATTTTATGATGAATAATTGACCCATGGATACTCAAAATTCTTTTGAGTAATGCTTTCTTGGAATTTGATGTAATGCTTTCTTCTAGTTTCCAAAATAAGTTATGATAGGCAAAACTTTGGTGGTGACTGGAACCAATGAAGCGAATGGATAAAAGAGAATGAGCTAGGGTCAAGGCAATGGGAATGGAGAATCAAGGCAAGAGCACAAGAAGATGTGGCTGTTTGAATTGAAGTGATGGAATGAAGGATTGTGATTACTTGGAAATCAAGATAAAGGGAAAAGGTTTTGCTCTGATTTTTGGTTCATGAGAAATTAGTGCAACAGCAGTAGTCTGTTCATTTTTCAAATGGCTACTCAACTTGTAGAGAAGCGTATGGCTATTCATTTTATTTTGTTAATAGTAATGGCAATTGTTTAGGAGAGACCTGAGAAGACTATAAAGATGGAAGGTTGCTGATCTAAAGGAAGACCAAGTACTAAAGGAGGTTGGCTCAAGTGGTACATGCTTGATTCTGCTTATTGTGAATGCAAAAAATTTCCTTTGGAGAGCTAGCCCCACCATAATGTGGATGTTCCCGGCTCAAACAGGATTGTCTTCCGTAGAGGATAATCGTGGTTTATCCAAAAAAAGAAGAAGACCAAGTTGTTGTTTGCACACATGGCTAAGGAAAAAAGAAGAATTGAAGCTGACATGACAATTGGAGAAAGCTTGAAGACGTTGCGATGACTTCATAGTCTGTGCTTCAGCTTTCATACATTATAAATAGTTTTTCTGTAACCATTAACATGAAAATCTCTTCCACGTTTTAGATGTCTCTCAAAAAGTGTAATTGTTTCAAATTTTACCACCCAGCTTACCCAAAACCCCTCTCTCCCCTTTTGTTTGGGGTAGGTGCCCTAAAAAAGCGAAACAAGGATGAAGAAAAAGTATTGATTTGCATTCAAATGCCATTTCATTTTTAAGATTATCAGAACATTTAGATTTATTCTTTTGCACTCTCGCTTGGTAGACCTGTTTGTCTACATTCACAGCTGTATGTGTATACATTCTTGTCACTTTTTGGTAATACATTTTATGTCTGTTTTTTATTTTTTTCCCCTTGCCCTTTATGGATGGAATCTTCGTACGAAAGTTGAAGTTGAAGTTGTATCATGTATATGCTGATTATCAGTGTAGCTCAGGTGTGATGTTTGTATTTATTATTGTCTAGTGGCTCTAACACTGTATGGTTGAAGAACCAAGGAAAAGTAAGGGGGACAGGAAGGGAAATGGATACTCATATTTGTTTTCATTTGAGATTGTGAATGGAAACATAGAAGAACCATTCTCCTCCAAATTGTAAGGAAAGGGAAGCAAAAGAAAATTTTCTGTTTTGATAAAAGAGGCATTGAAAAAAATTAAAAACAGGAAAAAGTAAATTGTCCTTTTTCTTTCTGGTCTTGTTAGACATACAAACAATGTCAAGGTAAATAACTTCCCTTCCCCTTCTCTACTGATTTTAACATGGTCAGATTGAAATTGTTGTCATTGTGCAAGTTCATCTATCCCATTATGTAGCCAGCATGTTTGATGTATTAGACTACCAGTTAGTGATTTATGCATGTATCCAAAAGTTGCAACGCATCTTTTGTGCATAAATTGATGTGGGCTAAGATCTGTTAGTTGGCATTCAGCTGATTAATAATATGAGTAACGATACTCCTAAAGCCATTTGGGTTTTAAAAAGTCACAATTGTGTCTCTGGGTATTGATTTTATACATAGTTAATTGTATAATGGCTTGGTGACAGTTTTGAATTTCTATAACCAAAATGTTTGAGAACAACATTACTCTACTTATATAATTATTTTTTTTAAGTCAGAAAATTAATTTAGTGAACATTAAACTAATTGATTTGGGTGCTAGAAGATCAGTGTTTTAAAACCCGGCTCGGACCGGCCGGGTCGACCTGGATTTCGGTAAACCGGTGCCCTCACCGAACCGAAAACCGGGTTCAACCAGTGTTGAACCGGGTTTAGCCGGTTTTATGTTAAATTGTGTAAAATATATACATTTTGCAAGCAACGAGATTCGAACTATAGTCCCCTTGTTTGAGGATCGGAAGGCTTACCACTAAACCACTTTTTTTTTTTTGGTACATACCATTAAACCACTTTTATTTGTTGAACATAATGTTCATAATTTAATATTTATTATATATTATTTTGAAATCCGGTTGAATCCGAACCACGGACCTAGTGATCCAGTACCTCGACTGAGTCAATGACCGGTCCGAGTTTTAAAACATTGTAGAAGATATTATACTCTTGCTTTGACAATTTGTAGTTTATGCTTTCTTGCATATGCACTTTTTGTTATATGTGTTCTTTCTATTTGTCTTGTGAGAGTATCCTCCATGGGTATATTGGTGTCTGATATCTGTTGTTGCATTCATCCTATTTGTAAAAACATTGAATTTCTACTGTTGATTTCATTAAGCAAGCTTTGGGTATATTTGAATTTGCTTTTAGGACTTCCAATCAAGATCGATGTTTTGATCATGTGGTGGTATCTTTGACCAGGTGAATTGAGGAGTACATTAAGCAAACACAAGGGACCAATATTTTCTCTGAAGTGGAATAAGAAAGGCGATTATCTTCTGACTGGAAGTTGTGATAAAACTGCGATTGTGTGGGATGTGAAGGCAGAGGAATGGAAACAACAATTTGAATTTCATTCAGGTCCATATTTTCAATGTATATTTTAATCAAGGGAGCTTTATATAAAATGAACTCTTGGTGATAATTTTCTTAACGATGTTTATGAATGATTTTATAATTTGTGCTTGATATGATGTGTAGGTCCCACACTTGATGTTGATTGGCGCGACAATGTGTCTTTTGCCACAAGTTCCACTGACAATATGATATATGTTTGCAAGATTGGTGAAAACCACCCTATAAAAACTTTTGTTGGGCACCAGGTTTGTACGTGAGATCTTATTTTGTGGCATTATGCTTTACACGGATACTTATGCTGAAACCATACACTATTAGGAGAAAGAAGGGTTCGTACCCTACTTTCTTAACAAGTTAAAAAATGGCTGGGGAAGGTTAACTATATGGATCAGTGGATAATCCTGGGCTGCTAATTTGAAGACGAGTACTTACTTTCTGAGTGCCCTACTATTTAGTTGGATTTCTTATGAAATTGTCCAGCACTATATGAATTAATTTGGTAGCAAATTCAGTTTGTAATTTGCTTTGATCAAGTAAAATCCTACAGATCTAGTTTGGGCTCTGCATGTTTGCATTTTATATCGTAGTTGGTTGAGGTTGAAGGTTCAGAGATCTGAAATTGTTGCCTGTTGAGTGATCAGAACATAGTTATCAAATGCGGATTGCAGCATGTCGCGGCCAACCCCGAAAAGCGCTATAGTGGGTTGTGGTTGCGGAAATAGCGGAGAGTAGATATATGATAGAAATAATGACAAAAAGAAACATTTTTTAAAGGCATAGGTAGCAGACGTGACAGAAAGAAATGCGGATAGACTAAAAAAATCTTTAATTTTTTCTGTTACACATTTAAATTTAGGACAAAATTGACATTTTGCCTTATGACAGCAATATGGCCGCAAATGCGATCGCAATGGCCGCTGTTGCGCTCCGGTGTGGCGCGGCGCGGTTTCTTGCAGCGGGGCGCCGCAATGCCCATACGGCGTGACTCGTGGCACTATTGCGGCGCAATTAACTACTATGGATCAGAAAGCAATAGTTTGAGATATTTCATTGAAATGCAATATGTGATTGGAGGATTCTTTCAGGGCGAAGTTAATTGTGTCAAATGGGATCCCACAGGTTCATTGCTGGCATCCTGTTCTGATGATATAACGGCAAAGGTAATATTTTGGTCACATAGTAACTAATCTTATCTATGTTATCATTCCATAATTGTGTTTTTTTTTTTTGCTGGTACAGGCTTTTGTAACTTCATTTTATAAAATTATATATCAGAAAAATATGAAGTAATTTGTGAAATTACTGTCTGTACGTTCGATGTTTATTGTTTTGATTGGATACGTGGTTGTTTTGTAGATATGGAATATGAAGCAGGATAAGCATCTTCACGATTTAAGGGAGCATTCCAAGGTATCCTGAGTTTTGAATGTTTTCCAATGTCAGTTCTTATAATTCTATTTGCATTTGAATTTTTTACACATTCCGCATGTTGTTGGGGAAACTGAATAATTTGCTTTGTAGGAGATATATGCTCTCAGATGGAGCCCTACTGGTCCGGGTACAAATAACCCTAATAAAAAATTGGTGTTAGCTAGGTAAGCTAGTTGCTTGGTGAAATTAGGTTCATTAGTCTTTATTTACATCCATGCATTTATTTATGATTTCTCAAAATTTAGAATTATTGTTTACTGTATTTCCTGACCCCAAATCTTAGTTGATAGGTCACCACTGCATCTCTTCAATTGACAGTTTAATTATAATCAGTAGGTCGCGACTGCTTCAGTTTGATTTCTCAAAATATTGGCATCTTGACAATTTGATTATGATGATCGATACCTGCATGCTCTTCTTTTTTTGGTTCGGTACTACTGTAGGAGAAGTTTGTTTTCAACTTCGCTGTCATCTGTTTGTGCAGTGCTTCATTTGACTCAACTGTAAAGCTTTGGGATGTGGAACTCGGGAAACTCATCTACAGCTTGAATGGACACACGTAATTTTTTTTATAGTTTTGGTTTATTTCTGTGAGGGTCTGTTATAGCTCTGGTTTATATATAATTTATATGTGCGGTTAGTATGAGATTCACCCGCCCCAGCCTCTTTCCATTTTCTGCTTCGGAGTTTTAGACTCTGAGAGAAGACTGATCAACATGAAGTTCTAATCTTCATAATTTCACAAATGCTATAGATCTTTATGCAACTATGTTAAGTTCCTAACTTCCATTTCAGCTGGAAAAATTTGAATACCCCTGGAAAATGGATTTACTTGTGGAAAAAAATATATCAGGCATAGTGAGAGGAGGCTGATAGATTCTGTTTCTTTGAATGTGATAAATTCCTGTGGTTCTGACATGATCATTTGTTCCTGCAGACATTTCGTATATTCTGTTGCATTCAGTCCCAGTGGTGAGTATTTAGCCAGTGGGTCTCTTGACAAATCTGTGCACATATGGTCATTGAAGGAAGGCAAGATCGTCAAAACATACACTGGCAATGGAGGCATTTTTGAGGTCTGTTGGAATAAGGAGGGTGACAAGATCGCTGCATGTTTTGCTAATAATAAAGTTTGTGTTTTAGATTTCAGAATGTAAGATCCTGAGAAGCATCAAGTTCTTCTGGCTGTTGCATTAAATTCTTTCTTTTCCCTCCTTTTTTGTGAGATTGGTGGAAATGTATTTTGGGTGGGTAGGTTTCCCATTTTAACCATAGTTGTAGGCATAGCTCATTGTTCTTGGACCCTGTTATAATTTGCTATATCATTTAGTGAAAAGTAATTTGTAGGAGTGCATTATTAATAAGCAAAAATGTATAGATTTAGTTGGACAATATTCTGTATAATCGTCGTTTGATCTCTCTAGTATGTATCGAGTTGTCTTTCTTTACTCTTCTAACATCGATGGCTTAGAATTAACTTTGCCTCCGTTGTCTGCCCCTTTGTTCCGTATGGATATGTTTGATGGAGAAGGGAATTGGGGGGAAGGTTTTTGATAAATCATCTCCAGTTCAAGAGTTTTATGGAATGATGGGATAAAATGATCGATTTTCATGTGATCTTCTAAAACATCTTTATATTAGTTCAAATTTCAATTTTTGGGGACGTTTAACATTGAAACAAAGGGATTAAAAATTATTATAGAACTCGTTATTATTATTAATTTTTGTTTATCATCATTCTTGAATTTTTTATTTTTTTTCTTCATTTGCATCTAAACTTGCTTTAAAAGAAAAAAGAAATCAGATTTTTTTTAATAAAAGTGAGAATTGAATACATAACCTAATATAACTTAATTTTTTTGTCACTATATTAAGTCCAGTGACCTAATAAATTAGGTTTATTTTCTAACCGTTGATAATTTTCGGCCATTTGAGTGGCAGTGTTATTATTGGATTAGACTTTTACTCTTGACACGTTAGCAATATTTCTTGGCACAAATATTGAAGGGGAGAGCAAATTCACCACCATAACCACACCGTCTCTAATTACACTCAGAGTCGATTTGTAAGTTACATTCATAGAACTAGTAAATAACCCTGGCCATCGGAAAAGAGTAGATAATATTGAGAAATGTTATATTTATAAATTTTTTTGTTTACAAATTCTTATAAACTATACTATGTCTGACCGGTAATATACTCTTGAGTCGAGTATTACTGGTTAGACATGGTGTAGTTTGTAAGTTTGTAAGAAAAAATTTGTCAATATAATTCTACTCGATAATATTAGCTGAGTTTCTGATTGTGAGAGGGATGGAATTTGTGATGATGAGATGGAATGGACTTAGAATAGAGAAATTTGTTTCATGGTTTTTCTCAAATGGATAAATTTACTTATGATGTGCTTTTTTTTTTTTTTTTAAGATACATAATATATTTTTATTACATAAGTTCCTCTATAGGATAAAAATTTGGGTTACTTCGTATCTCAGGCAATCATATTATAATTTTTTTTTGGAAGTAAAGATGATAATTTAACTTTTTGTTGTACAATACTTCTAGATTGCACAATAATCATCATATAAACTTTACAAAGTCGATACATACAAAAGATATGTTATTTGCACAATAATTATTATACAAATCTTAGGCTTTTCAAAAAAATCGAAAACCGATCCAATTCAAACCGAATAAAATTGGATTGGATCGGATCAGTTTTGAAAAAAAATTCAAATCGAATGGATGATTACATGATTAAACTGAAGTGATTGGATCGTATGATTTTTATTTCCAAAATCGATCCAATCCAAACTGCGAACACCCCTAACTCTGGTGTCCAAATTAAATAATTTCTTTCTTTGATTCCATACAACTTTTCGAGATCTACGCAATGACACCTCATTTGATATATTTTGTCTCTCACAAAAAAGTTCGAATTTACAACAATGATATTATAATAACGTTTAAAATCAAATTAATAAAGAGAAAACCACTGTTGTGATTAGAAACATTCATAGTAAAGATCCTTATGATTATGGTACCATTGTGTTAATTATTGAAAAAATTCGAATTCACAAAAAAATTACCTAATTCGGACATTCGAGTCAAAAGTTATGGACTTTCAAAGTTTTAGAAAAGAGACACATCCCACAGGGGGCGTAACTCACCTGGTGCTGACACGTGGTACAAAAAGTCAACAGCTTGACCGTAAAACTTTGGGAGTCCATAACTTTTGACTCGGGTGTCCGAATTAGGTAATTTTTTTATTCCACACAACTTTTCAAGATATACACAATGAGGTCTCATTCAAGGGGATTTGATGAATTTTAATTTCAAAATTTTGAATATTTTATCGGAAAACTTCAAAAGGCCATAGCTTTAGTTTCGGGTGCCTGAATCAGGTTTTTTTATAATTTCGCATAACTTTTTTAGACAAACGTGTTGACAAGTCTTGTAGGGGACTTGGTCAGTTTTTTTTCTTTCAAAAAATGCTTCCTTGTGCTCCGTTTTGCATTTTTATATATGTGAGTGTGAAAGACGTTATTTAAGTTGAAATTTTGTCTCCCATAAATATAATTGCAATTTGCAACAATGGTACCATAATCATAAGGATCTTTACTAGGAATATTTCTAATAATGACAATGGTTTTCTCTTTATTAATTTGGGTTTAAACAATTTTATAGTATTATTGTTGTAAATTCGAACTTTTTTGTGAGAGGCAAAATTTGCCAAATGATGTGTCATTGCATAGATCTCGAAAAATTGTGTTGAATCAAAAAAAATTCTTACCTAATTCGGACACCCGAGTTCAAAGTTATGAATTTCCAAAGTTTTACGATCAAATTGTTGATTTTTGTGCCACATGTCAGCACCTAGTGAAATACGCCCTTTGAGGAGTTTCTCTCTCATCAAATACGTCCTTTGGGGAGTTTCTCTCTCATCAAACACGCCTATGTGGGAGTGTTTATCTCCAATCGGTCATGCCCCTGTGGCTCAGGTAGGGGGTGTAAATGGGCTAGGCCGGCCTACAGGGTCCTACGGCCTAGCCTATATTAGGCTAGGCTTGGCATATTACAAATAGTAAAATAGAATAGGCCTAGGCTTTAAAAAAACTTATTTAGAAAATAGGCCATAGGACTTTTTTGTACATGCCGACCTATATTATATTATTTATTTTAAACAAAATAAATAAAATTATTATTTTGAATAATAAAGTAATATTATTTTAGTTATTTTATAATTGATGAATGTTTAATAGGCTTTAACAAGCTAACAGGCCTAGGCCAAAACTTTTATTTTTTAAATACAGGTCAGGCCAGACTTGTAATTCAGGGCCTACACAGGCTAACAGGCCATGCCATACCTAATATTTTTTTACACAAGCCTAGCCTATTTAAGCCGAAGCCTAACCTAGCTAGCCTATTTACACCTCTACCTGTGAGCCGTGTTTGAGTACTATACATTTGTAAATACCTTCAAAACGATTATATTTTCATAAGAGTAAATATCTTTTTTGATCCCTAACAAAAAACACGGTCCCTACTTTTGTCCCTTACAAAAATAAATTAGTCAGTTAGTCCCTAACAAATTCAAGGTGGACACATTTTAGTCCTTTTGAGGGACTGATATGAGTCTTTTTTGAATTTGTGAGGGACCACGATTTTAACTAAATGGGTTCACTTTGAATTTGTTAGGGACTAACTCACTAATTTATTTTTGTAAGGGACTAAAGTGGGGACCATGTTTTTTGTTAGGGACTAAAAATGATATTTACTCTTTCCATAATTTTTTATTAAAAAAGTAAAATTTAAATTTTTTTGCCTCGAAGTTTATTATATCTTAAAGCCACACACGATCACACAGCGTGTATGCTACAAGTCTTTTCTCTAAATTCATGTTGAACCCAAGCCAAATTCATTCTGAAGCAGATTAAAAAATCTAAGATAAATTACAGGTACAAAGGAGTTCGATATATGGTATACTACCTTAACTAAAGTTTGCTCGGCTACATCAAATAGGGATTAGGCAGGATAAGAAGATAACATAACTTGAAGAGCATACACGTTCTTATTTGGTTTTCGAGTATACAGATGATAATTTATCGGTCAATCCATTTAATTTATTAAATTTGGCAGATTCAGTCATCAAATATAAGTAATTAACCCTACTAAAGTCGCTCCCCAGAAATATAAGTTGTCATGAAATAAAAGACGAAACAAGTTAAGATTTTTTTTTTTAGGGGAAGGATATTGTAACAACCAAGTTATGTTACTACTATGTTACTACCAATCAATCTCACCGTTAGATCGATTATGTTGATCCAACGGTTATATTTATTTCTATCTTTGTATGGTTATGATCCCCCATATTTAAAGTGAAAGTATTAAATATGGGAAATCATAACCATACAAATGTGGAAATAAATATAAAGTATTAAATTTGGAAAATCATGACCATACAAAGATGAAAATAAATATAACCGTTGGATCAACATAATCGGTCTAACGGTGAGATTGATTCATAGTAACATGGTAGTAACACAACTTGGTTGTTACAATATCCTTCCCTTTTTTTTATACAGAAAAAATAAGGAGTGTAGTGAGTCACACTTAGGGATGGTAATTTTCAACACGATCCATTGACATGAAACGGACAAAAAAATATTTATATTCGAGTTGACCCATTTTTAAATCCATATTGTTCTCGTGTTGATAAAAAGTGACACAAAAATACAACATTGACCCGCGTTAATTTTCTTGTTGGTTATTCTTGTCATATTGTGTTATGCCGTATTATGTCAACACGATATTGGTGAGAACAACATTTAATATATAAGTTGTACGTATCTTATTGTGTTATATCAACCCGCAAAATAAGCACGTCATATTTGTATCGAAGGTTTTGATCAGTTTTTAAATTCATGTCATATTCTTGTTAAATGCATTCTTATTCATGTTAAATTTGTGTTGTATCATGTATATCATCCCTAATCACATCGATAAGATTTCTTGTGTATTAAGTGCAAAATTCCTTATTTACTCAATATAAAAATTGATAAAGGTGTGCATGACAACCTTCCCGGAATCAATTTTTTTTTTAAATTTCTGCTCCCGGGAACAGAAATGGATAGAAAACTCGTTTGGTAAAATCAGTTTATTTTTTTGTTCAAGGGATAAACCGGTTTATTTTTTGTGCTGGGGAACAGAAAAAAGAATAAAAAAATTTCTGCTTTTTTGTTAATGGGCACAAAATGAGAAACACTTATCTCTCTCAATTACTCTCCACCATTACACCATCATCACCACCGCCACCACCATCCCGACACGACCACCGCTACCATCGTTGTACCACCACCACTACCATCACCGTCACC